TTTTTTGCAGGGACTCCTGCTGATGTGTGTACTGAATAGTTGGGTGTAATTTGAAACTGTCCGGATAGCAAAACCATGAAAAATGGCAGTAACTACTGTGCATATAAAGATTTATTATGCATCTATGTTACAGTATGCTTATTTTATCAAAAATAGACCATTATGAAACCTGGCTTTTGCACCTGCTCTTCATTAATTTTTGGAGTTAAATAGCTCTGAGTGGTCTTTTCCACCAAATACCAGAGGGCACTTGGGGGTTATTAGCAACAAATACTTACTGAATGTTGAGTTTAACATTAATGGTAAAATAATCCACTACTAAAATTGTAGTTTAACTACAGTTAAACGCAAAAAAAAAAAAACACCAAAAAAAAACAAGCCCACCCTCAAAAGCATTAAGCAATGGAGAACTGTTATATTACTTTTTAGGACAATTTGAATTTGACATAAGTAAAAGTGGTACTGGTAGTTCTGTTGTATTTCTATTGAATTGGAAAAAAAAGTAATGTCATTTGAGAATAACAAACAAAGACCTCATAATTAGAAAAATACCCTTCATAGTTTATGTATTTTCTTTTTTAAAAAGAGCAATGTTTATCTGGGAGTAGTTGAATGTTTGAGTTTTCACATGGAGTGTGTGATAGGAATCAGTTGCACAACTGAATTCCTATTGGAATTATCCTGGGAGCTTTTTCTGAAGAAAAATCTCAGCAATGTAAAATATGAAAATATAAGCTTCCCCCTCCATGTTTATACTGTTATTTAGGGCAGAAGTTTTTATCTTTAGGGATATAGAAGCAAAGCTGGTTTAGGAAAGAAGTGGAGGTCAGTTTATCATGACTGTAAGAAGGGAAAGAATCAACCTAATTTATTTTTTTTTAGAAGCAAACATTAGTAATTCGTTTTTTCAGCAAATAACAAATGTCTTCGCAATTAATTTTGCATGATTGGCCTTTGGTTATCAGCCAAGAAATGTGATCAGTCATAATTTAGTAGTTTTTCAAAATGTCAAACACAAAATCTGCTCAGCAATCAAATAAGTAGATATTTGTTAGTGAATCTGGAATCTTAAAAAGTGGAAAAAACCCCAGAGTTCTTCACTGCTAGGGACAGAAAAAAAAGAGAGGCCAATAGGAAGTGTTCCAAACTTCAGATATTTCCTTCTTGTTCTTTCTTGGAGTGTTTTAAGAGTCATTTTGACCCAAACTTGTGTTGTGGTATGTACTTACATGACATATACTGCTAACTAGAGGAAAAAATTCTTAATGTATCTTAGTGAGCATTTGTTGGGATTTTTTGACACTATCTTTTGGATAACAGTTGGATACCTGTTATTTTGTGTTCAATCAATGCAGATATTAAGAGGACACTAAATGTGTTGATTCTTAAGATGGCTGGACACCTTTGGTACAGAAGATCACAGGGAGCTTGATTGAAAATAGTAGCTTGAAATCAGCATTGCTACTATTTTAATAGTAAAATGTCTTGCAGGTTATTGGTTTTTGGGTGTTTTTTGGGTTTTTTTTGTTCATTTGTTTTTGGTTTTTTTAAGTGTGAGCTTTCTTGGACTTAAAATGACCTTGTATTACTAAGTTCTAAAACTTACCTAAAGCTTATTTCATAAAGGTTTGTTTCTTTATGATGGGAAATACAAAGCTGCTCTCAGTGCATGTAATACTAACAGACTTTGGTGGCCTAGACCAAGATGTTGTGCTGGTTGCTGGCCTCATTTTGAATCCTTTTGGTTGAAATTTTCCAAATATACTTTCATTCTAAAACTGAAATGGTGGAAAAATACTTTTGTGTCCAGGTGAGTTATTTAGAAATGTTTTATTTTTGCTCATTTTCCAAGGAAGAAAACTGAATTTGGCTGCACTGAGAGGATGTTTCAGTACATAAGGGCTGTGTGAAATTCAACAGGACTTTCCATGCATTTGCAATTCAGGGCTGCCTTAGGTGGAGACAAATCTGGGCATAATAATGAGGGTACAAGTTGGCAGGAGAGGGAAGGCTGGTACAAAGAATTGTTTATTTAAAATAAACATGCTGGACTTTTTTTTCAACCTGTGCCTGCTGCTTCCCTGGCAGGAAAAAGAGGGGAGATGGCCTGGTGTAAGTGTGTACAGACAAGGAAGTCAGGGGCTGAGGGGGACAAGCTCCTGACCAGCTGCCACAACACAAGAACACCAGCTTGGAGTGTGGAAGCTGGGATCTGGATCCATGCTGGGACTAGGAACCAGTGGCCAGAGTGAAAGACATGATGGGGATGAGAGAATGTATCTGCAGGAGTGAGCAGGACCAGGAGAACAAAAAAGCAAATTGGGCAAGGAATTAATATTGAGGAAGATGCTTGAGACCAGGTAACAAATGCGGTTGAGAAGCAGAGATGGCTGCTTAGTTTGTAGCCTAAGCCTGTTCCCTTCAGCCTAGCACTAAAACTGAAGCCTGGGAGTGAGAGGAGAGACTGATAAGGATCTGTTACCTCAGCCAGGGCAGAATACTTGGAGTTTGGAAGAAGCAGGTAGAGGAGACCATGATCACTGCACTGCCATTTGGTGCTTGGAACCAAGCCCAGACAGATCCTTGCTGCTGCCAGCTCTTCAGCTCGGGTGGCAGATATGTGACACTTAAGATTTATTAGCCCAGGTTTCAGTAAGTTTCCACGTAATTTGTTTTTTGCTGGCTATTTTACAAATGACTAAGATGTGTGTAAGCATTTGTCTAGGGAAAACTAGGAGGAATTTGAGAGCTTCTGAGTCAGGCTCTCTGAAAATGGGGAAAAAGGGTTGTCAGGACCATGCTCTGTCTTGTGATGCAAGATGAGCATGTGGGTACGTGCTGTAAATCAGATGCAAGGTTAAAACCATCTTGTGTGTAAGTGCCCTGTTGAACTGGGTTCTCCCATGCTCCTGTTGCAATGGCCTTATGCATTATCCACTGGTAAACTAATAACTAAATAGCTAAAATATAAATAGCTAAAAATGAGTGGTCTGCTGGGTGCCTCCCTCAAGGATGTGCAGCATGTGGAGAGGCTGTGTGTGTGTTCCCTGGGATTGCTGTAAGAGCAATACTTTGAGAAATAGGCTTTTGTCACCAAAGCTTCTGAGCTGAGGGAATGCACCTAGCCTTATTTTGGAAGTAGCTCTGGCAGCTCCTATGTGCAGTGGTGCTGGAGGTGTGGTTTGGGAGTGAAAGATCAGGATCCTCAAGGTTTCTGTTCAGCTGATCTTTTGGCAGGCAGCCAGTGCTGTCCTGCTCAACACGAGGGAAGGGCAAAGCAGTTCAACATCCTTGTTCAGCTAAACCTGAAAAGATTTTTATGGAACAAATAAATGTCACTTTTTTCCATCCCAAACAGCTCCATCCTGCTCCAGCTGCTGTTGTCTGCTGTTTGCAGACAGCCTGTGAAATTCAAAGGCAGTAGTCAGTTCCAAGGTGGCAGGAATATTGTGTGTTGTGACTGCTAACTTGCAGAAGTGTAGAGCTCCTCCTACAAAGTGTGTATGTTATGAGGACTGTCATGCTTGAGTGTAATATAATGTCTTTTCACTAAATGAAATACCCACAGGAGACTGGCTGACTGGAAGCAAGGGGATATAGACCCTTTAATCTCTAGGAATGATAATGTATTTACAGTTGATGGCTGTATAATGACATAAGTAGTCACAGTCTTGGTCCCAAATAAGAGGTTTCAGTATCTCACACATCCCCATTCAGGTATTTCAGGAAGGGCACAGATTTAATAATGGATCTGATCCTTGGTGCTTCTCATCTGCTTATTTGGGCCTTGCCAATCCCAGGTGTATTGTGCTGGTTGAAGGCTGTAAAAGCAGCTCTGTCTTGTGCTGCTCTGATAGTGAGTATGCTCCAGGGCCATTGTTGCTGTGTGAGAAATTCTTATCCTAAAATTCCAGTCTTTGTGCAGTGCAAATATGATAGGGTGAGACTGTGCATACCCTTGGTGAGGTCAACTGAAGAGATAAAAGATAAGCTACTGCAGCTTTGTTGTTTGGTCCTTTCCTGATGACAATACTTCAGTCTAGCAGGGAGCTTTTGGTCTGGAATCTGTTTTGAAAAGCTTGTCTTCAGCAGTGCAAGTTTGAAGTTTCAAGGTGGACATCACATGTAGACAGAACAGATCCCACCACTGATTTCAGAATCTTTATAGAAAGGATGTTCACAGATTATTTTCATTACTTACTTGGTTTACTCACATAATAAGGAAATGGTTGAGAATATAATTTATGTGAAGCAAAGCTTTGTCTGTATATCAGAGGTTGCCAATGTATTTTGTCAACTTTTGATAGAAAAAAAATTCTAGTGTGAATTACTCAATTAAACATGTCTTCTGCAGAGTTCTGGTTTTGTATTAACATACTGCTTCCTGCAGTATGCAAAGGCATTAAAAAAAGAAAAAAATCCAATGCCTTACTGGAAGAAAGAGTACAAAATTTTCTTTCTTAAAATGCTTCAGATGCTAAACTGTGAATAGCCTGAAATGCTACTCTCATCTTAATTCTTTTACAAAGATGATTTCTTTAATTTTCTGTGTGTCATAAATTGTCCTTCCTCCTCGCTTTTTTTTTTAAGTAAAGCTGCTCCCTCCTGTAGCTTACATTGTGCTAAATTGATGATGAAGAATAGTATGGTTTATGAAGATAAATGTCAGGAATGTCTTCTAAAGTAGACATTCAGATTTTTTTGGATTAATGGGAAAGAAGGTCAATAATTGCATGGATTTCAGAAATAAGCTTGAGAAGAAATCGCATTCCTGTGGTGCTAGTGATTATTAAAACATTGTGAATTCATTTCAAGATACTGTACTTGAGTTTAATATATCTTCCATTGTGAAGGAATGACTCAGTAAGGGCTGTCAATTTGTACAGGTGATAGGAGATAATTTATACAGCAATTGTATTTTTGAGAGAAAAAAAGTTATAGCAGACAATACATAAATTTCTGGATGGTAGCCTTAATTTTAATTCTGCCTTATTAAATAGGGCCCTCCAGACTTCCAGCAGCATACACCTGGACCAGTTCCTACCAACTTCTCCCAAGCCCCAAGGCTGCCAATCCAGGACCAGTGGAGAGGGCCACCCCCACCACCTCCACCACTCCCTCCTCCACCTCCTCAGGACAGAGATCCTTTCTTCTTAGCAGGTGAGCATTTTCAATCCCATTAATAATTAACACCAACCTGTTGTAAAGTGACTGCACTGTCACTGCATATCCCACAACATGAAGTGTTCAGAAGAACCTGAAGGCTGGAAGATCCCATTTGATGGAGTCAGATTGGACCATGCCAGAAATTCTGGTTGTCTAGTATATTTTTACTTCTTTTGATGTGGATTTTTACTTTTTTAATATGTCTTCACCTGTAACTGTCATGAATCCAGATATTTATATATACACAAAAATAATTAATATCTATGTGATTATTGCAGTGAAATTGTTGCACTTTGTTCTAGTTTGGATAACAGACACTCTTCCATGCACTTGGATTTCTTGTAACTCTGTAAACTGCCTGGACTGAGTGTGTAGTGTTTGTTAAGGTTAGATAAAATGATACAGCCTAGTAAAAGGAGAGGGTAAGTTATATTTATACCACAAATATGTAATGTGTGTGTATGTGTATATATATACACAGACACGCACAATATTTTTGCACATGTATAGTATGTTAAAATGTGCTAAATACCTGGTCAGCAAATGTTGTCAATGCTTTATGAGTTCTGTGGTTTAAACTGTAATCACTGGAATCCTTACTTGATTTTATTAAAGTAGAATTTCCAAAAGATATTGCTGATTCCAGCAGAGTACCAGTTGTGCCGGTCTTTCAAGGATCAATTCCTTTTATACACAAATGACAGGAACAAGAGAAACATAACCTTGAGGGTAGCTCTTATAATTAAAACATCCCACAGAGTTTTGCACTGTGCAAATTTCAGGTTACTTTCCAAATCATACTAGAGCTTTTTGTTTCTGAAATGTGTTTGTGTCCCGGGAAGGCTGTAATTGATTTAATTCCCTCATTCCCGCAGATCCGAGGTTCCCGGGTCACCCCTTGTTTGAGCAGCGCAGTCCCCCGCCGCCACCTCCTCCCCCGCTTCTGAACAGCGCCCATCCCGTTCCTACGCAGAGCCCGATGCCCTTCAGCCCGCCCGGGCCCGCCTTCACGCAGCAGGGCCAGCAGCCGGTGTACCCCCGGGAGCGGCCGGTGCGGCCCGGCATGCAGCCCCAGGGCCCCGTGGGGATCCTGCACTTCAACCAGCCGGGCTCCGCCACGCCGCGGCCCTTCATCCCCCCGCGGCAGCAGTTCCTGCAGGCGCCGGGACAGCCCTTCCTGGCCCCGCACACGCAGCCCAGCATGCAGGTACAGCGCTGGGGGAGTCACGGAGCCCAAGCGTTGCGGCTCCGAGGGGGATGGCCCTGCAGTGCCATCGCTGCAGTGCCTGGAGGGTGATGGATATTCTGGATATTCTGGATCTTCCCCCGCCGCCGTGTCCGGTCTCGCTCGGTGCCGGCCCGGGGCAGCGCGGGGCGGCAGCGCCCTCTGGCGGCCGCGGAGCGGGGCCGTGGGGCTGCGGCCGCTGGAAGCGGGGCAGCGCTTCGGGCATGTGCGGAGGGCCGGGGTAAACCTCGTTAGAAAACGGGGTAGAGGACAGCAACCCTTGAATTCGTATTTTTCTTTTTACTTCACCTGTTGCCGTACACAGATTTTAAGAGTAGAATGACCTTACACCTCTCTGGTTGGTCTGTTCTTTCCTAGTGTAACCTGATTCATAGCTGCTTATAGTTCTCTACTTTGGTCAAGGTAGACCAGTCAGGAATGGAGATATATATTCACTTTTACTCATTACAGTGGGTTTTCTGGCCACATCAGAGACCTAGCATTTCGCACTCCTGAAAAAGAGTACTTCAGCTACACTGAAGAGAAAGATCTTAGGACTCAGGAGGCTGGAGGTGCTTTTCTGGAGTTTATTACCTTGAAACTAAAATTTTTTTTTCATGTGCAGGGTCCCATGCATCCTCCATTACAGCCTCAGCCACAACCTCAGCCTCATCAGCAGCATCACCAGCAGCAACAGCAGCACCATCACCAGCAGCAGCAGCAGCATCACCATCTCCAAGGGCCTCCACAGCCCTTAATGCCCATGAACCAGCCACAGTTCAGGCCTCACATGCAAGCCACACAGCAGCAGCCAAATAACAACAGGATGCAGTGTCAGCCACGACAGGGTCCAATGAAGCCCAGGCATGTAAGTACCACATACAGCAGTGTCCTGCATGAGTAGCAGTCATGTAAGCACAGGTTTCAAAACTCACCAGTGTGGGTTTTCGGTTCTATTTATTCCTTCCTGCTCTTTCCCCTACTTTTGCCATTTCTTGCTCATTTTCTGCCCTGATCATTTTGTAATCTACATTTTCAAATACCAGGTGTATCTTTCTTTTCTCCTCTGGTCTTCAGTGCTCTTTTTGATTTGGGTCCAATAAGAGATGTTGCAGATGCCCAAGAACTAGTGATGAAGGGGGGGCGGTGAAGGAGAGGTTTGCTTTATAAGGGTTTACAACTGCTGGTAGTCTGTGATTGTGTGGGAGCCCAGTTTTGTGACATTCTTGATTTGAAGGCCTCTCTGTACCCGCTGCTGATCAGTTTTCTTGTTCAGATAATGCCTTTCCTGTCTTGTGAGTTTCCTCCAATGCAGCATATTTTGCTGCTTGGTAGGTTGGGTAGGACAACAGCCTGGAGCAGTGCTCAAGACAATATAACGATAGTTCAGCATAATTGCTGTGATTAGGAAAGGTTATTAAAATATTCTCATTTCTGTATTTTTTTCCCTGACATTAAAAATATTGTGCCTTTTCACAAAGCTTATTTTCCCAAACTAAACTAAATCAGGAAAATGTGAAACCAGAATCACTTCAGCTTGGTTTGTGGTGGAAATCAGCACTTCTTTTCCTTTGTTCTTTGCAGAGTACCCCATCCCAGAATATTGTCAAGCGTTCCAGCCAGCAGCTGCAGGCGGCGGCTCCCAGGAACAGCAACCTGCGCGAGCTGCCCATCGCCCCGGCCCACGCCCTGGACATGGGCAGCACCCGCCGCAGCTCCGCCCCTGCTGCCCAGGTCAAACCCATCCCCAGCTCCCTGCCTGCCACCAAGCCTGCCACTGCTGCTGCCAACTCCCAGGGGAGGCCTGAGATGAAAGCTAAACCCATCACCCCAGTGGGCCAGGCAAAGTCGGAAGGAAAATGTGAACCGGAGGTAAGGGATTTTTTGTTTTGCTTAAACAAAAGTGTTGGGGAAGGTGAAACAGGAAAGCCTTATAAATATGATTGCCTGGCAAAAGATTTTGAGGATATAGAAACTATAAGATTGACATGAAAGCAAGCTTTGCGATACCTGAGTTACTGAACAACTGGAAAACAATGGTGTGGCCAGCTGAAGGTAATCCCCTTTTGATGAAACAACATCCTCTGCTTGCAGACAGGCCCAAGGATCAGAGCAGACCCTACTAGCTTGGCAAGAGTCCAAAAAGTAGTTTTTAGGGTTTAAAATGTAACACAGTATAGTAATGTAATGATTCTTATAATATTGTACTAAATTAGTTAGTGAGAATTAAAATTTTCAACACAGAAGATTTATTGTATTGTAAAGAGAACCTCGCTCTCTTACACTCTTATCCTCTTTTACTCTCTCTCTCTCTCTCTCATCCTTTTTACCACTCTCTTCTCTCAAGAGCTGTGAGAGAAGAGCTGCCCTGAGCTGTGGCTGGCAGCTCCCAGCAGGGCCCTGCACCCACACCCTCTACAATAAACCCCAAATTCCACAACCTGCCTTCAGAAATCTCTTGTCTCCGTCCATCCTGGCTGTCCTACCCTCCGATACTCCTACACAAAAGATCAAAAACCAAACAACGAGAAACAAAGTTCCCACCACAAAACTCCCACCTTTAGAAGACTTTTCTAGTCTGATTTATGAATTGAAAGCACACTTAATGCATTGTCCACCAAATATTTTAGGTGCCACTAGAGGCCTCCCTTCTGAATTACACTTTAATTTTTTATTGTAATAGCAGAAATAGTCTCCATTGACATAAAAGGTCAGGAAGGTTGGCAAGGCTGTGGTGAATTTGTTTTGTGGGAGAAGTTGTCATTTCTACTAGGAAAAGGCAGAATTTGAGTGAAGGTGATCAGTGTAACAAGTCTCTGAAATACTAATTTTGCCCATTTTTATCTTTGGGAATTATAATTTATTTTCAGGTGATCATATTCTAAGTCTGAAAGCCTCTTCTCTGTCATTTTGCATGATGCTGTGTGGCTCAAAGGCAATAAATGGAGGCTATTTGGAGAGCTGTTTTCCTCATGCTGTTTTCCTTTAGGCTGTTCAGTCTCTACTAGGCCTTGAGCATTCATGCAGGAGATCATAGCTGTGCTGTCCGTGGAGCTTGTTGCTCTTGCTCCTGAAAAAGAAAATCTCTTTTTTATGAAGCCTTTTCATGTAAGGGAAAAGAGGAGATGCTTTTAAGTTTTCCATTTTGGAGAAAGTGATGCTGTTTGCTCTGCTGGTATTCTACACAATTGGAGAAATCAGGTGCCAGTGTTTTCAGCTCCACTGGATCGTGTCATGTGAACAGATGACCATTTTCCTGCACATCTCCTGGAAGCTAGAGAAGAGTCTCCATGAGCTCTGTTGCTTTGAGAGAGTGGGTAGGATTGGACTGATGGCACTCTTTATGTCCTGAGCATGATGGCTGAATGCACCCTGTGTGCTTTGTCAGGCTATTCTCTGAAGAACTGTAAATCTTCATAGTTACAGTTAACCATGAATCTTGTCTCAAGGACCAGGTTTTCTTTAACAGCCATTGAAGGCTTTAATTGTGATAATGCTGTCTTCCTTTTAAGCTGCTCATGATTAGCTTTTCATCTTGTTCTTGGATTAGGGATGGTCATAACTAATTTCCATAAATGAAGCACAAAAGAAACCCAAACCTATCAGTGTTTGACCTCCTGTGCACTTGCTTTTCAATGGAAATGAAAAAAAATCCTTTTTTAGCTTTCAGTTTTCACCTTTTTTGGAAAAAATATTCAAGTAATCTCTTTCCCCTCAGTTTAGTCTCTTGGAATAATCTCAGTCACAGAAAATGCAAAATGCAGTGCTTCATAGAGAAGCCTTGTCTTTCAGGCCATTAGTAAGGTAAGTCTTGAAAAATCAGCTACAGGCCCCCCCATCTAAAACATCCTGAAGTTATTCTGTAGTGTAGTCATATGAAAATTAAGACATTAGCTCCAAAGTATCTCTGGCAGTATTTAGAAAAACATAAGAATTTTTAAAATTTCTTTTCATTAAATAGAAAACTAAACAAACAATCCCAAAGCAGTCATCTTGTTGTCTCTATTTTACATTTTAAGCATGCTCTAGTTGGTTATCAAACCACCTAATCTTACCTGTGTGAATTCTTGGTGTACAAATAAAACTTTCTTTTTTTATTTCTCTGTCACAACTGTCATTGATAAAATTCTGATACCTGTTTCATGCAAGTTTTTGCAAAGCAGGATGAAAAAACAAGGTTGTCTTGGAACAAATGGAGTCTCCTAGTAAAGCCCTTGTAGTTATATTTGGCAGGCATTAGGAGAACCTTGTCCTTCCAAAGCACACCTGGAACAGAGCCTGGTGCTGCAAACACTGTAGAAGCTTTGTCCCATTTCTGCTGTGCCACTGCAGTGGTCTTGGTCACTGCTGCTGCTTATTGTCACTCTTACAGATGGTAATGCTGCATCAAAAATGTTCATTTACAAGCATTTAATAATTTCCTTCACTGTTTGTGTAATGTAGGTGATTACATATCTTTCCTTAGGTAGATTGTAATGTTTTGCAGTCTTTTTTGTGTGTTTTTCTTGTAATTAGGTGACTTCATCCTGTTCTTTTTCTTTTGATGATGATGAGAAAGAGTTAAGTTCTGTCACCTTTTCTAGCTGTATGGCACATAACTGAATTGGGCAGGTTATTTTGCAAGTGTCTTCAACTGGAAAATTAAGACTTTTCTTTGCATCTTTCTTCCTAAAGAGTCAGTGGCTGTATTTATGAGTGGCCTATCATTCAGGAAGCACTAAAAAAAATAGCAATATTGGCTGTTAGAGGTTTTGCTCACCCTAAATATAGATATTTGAAAGGTTTGCAATGTGAGTGAATAGGAGATTAAAAACTGTATATTAATGGAATGCTTGTGTTCCTGTGAGGCTGCAAAATACTGACCTTAAGTGCCTGTTCAGAATAGCTTTTATTCCCCAGGGTTTAAATTGTATATCCTTAGTCTGAAACATCATTTTGTCATTGAAATAGGAAAGTCTGGATGATGTGGGCCTAATTCTGCTCCTGTTGAAGTCAGCTTAGGATTAGAGGAATTTAGGCAGTATTAAGCAGTTTTGAGTTTAAAGAAGAGGGAGAATGGAGAAAGGTGATGTGTCTTTAGGAGAAATGGATATTAAAGCTCAGAGCAGGAGGGAAATTAGTAGAGCACTGTGTCATCAGTGTATTGATATTAGTACTTACACTGGGGATAATGTCCCTGATGTACTGAAAGAAAACCTTTGTATTCCATTCTTCCAAATCCAGTGAATTGTGAATTTTGTTGAATTTTACATTGCTGTCTTTTCTAACAAGGCTTGCAATATGGAAAAGAGTTGCTGCACTAAATTACTAGATCAAATGTGTCTGAATATTTTTATATTTTTGGTTATGATCTACCTGAAAAATTGTAGAATTTCTTCCAGTTTAAATAATTTCTCTTCCAGATTTTTGTAGTGGTGCCTATTTTTTTTTCTAGTTTATGTTTTTAATGTTACAGGTTAAAAAAATAAAGACAAGTCTGCTGAATAGGTTTGTGTTTATGCCACAGATCAAACCATTTTGAATGCTCTGTTCTTGCACCCATTTTACTGGGACACATAAGTGATCCTGGTTGCATGATTCCTTTTTTGTTCCTTGGAAGCCAACCAGAACATTAACAGTGTCTGGTTGTTATGACTCAGCATTTAGTTCTATTAATTGGCAATTAATCCTGCAGACTTCTGAAAAGGTATGGGTTTATTTTTTTTTTTTTTTTTAATTTACTACATGAAAAGCAAGTTACTTGGTATTAGGACTTAAATTTTAGTAGAAAGTTTAATCCCTTGATTTAGAGTGTGTCCTTGCTGTCTTTTCATAAGTCAACAGTGCCATTCTAGGATCCCTAGAAGAAGGATGTGGGACTGTTGCTTCTCTTTCTTGCTGGTGCTCTTCAGCTAGATTCAGGAGAGCAGCCTGTAATGTTTTCTTTTGGTGTTTCCCATCAAAACTGCCTTGGATCTTAAGGGAGAAGAAAAACCTGCAGCTAAGGCTCAGTCTTCCTTCAAACCTCAGGGAAATGCATTGTGCTAAAGCTGTTCAAAGATGGATGAGAATTTCCACTTAAAAAAAAAGGAAAAAAAAGAAAACAAACTTAAAACCTGGCATAAAAAAGCCACCCCCACAAAACCAAGTGCCTGTCTGGCCTTTTGTACTCTGCAGCCTCCTGTAAAAGGAGCAGCCATATACATGTATTCAGTGTACCATTTCTTCATGTTGGGGAGTTTTCTACCCAGATCACATGAAGCTTAATAATTTGTCTAGGGAAGAAGTTGCTCCATGTTTTTCTGCTTTTTTACCTACAGATAGTGTTGCTTCCAGACCCAGAATGTGAAAATTACAATGGTTTGAACTTAGAAGGATGTGTACTTTCTCCCAGTTGATTCTCTAGGCAAAATGTTTGCTTTCCTGGCCTTTTTCTTTTTTTCTTTGGAGGTGCTGTTGCTTTTTGGAAAAATCTATACTGGGCTTACTGAACTAATGGGATGGAAGTCATTAGCAATGGGCATTGTGTGCTGTGTTCATCTTGACCCTGTCTTGCCTGTTCCATATGCTGAATGTCCTTATTACCTACTCTAGGTCATTTATGTGTACTATGCATCACATTTATACCCCCACTCTCTAGGGTGGTGTATACAAGGTGCTCTTAGAGCTGAGGAGAAGGGGATTTAACTGCCCCTGTTTTCATCCTGGTAAGGAGTTTGCTGTCCTTCTCACTCTGTACTGTTGGGCCACTGTACAACTGAATTGAGTTAAAGCTGACTTCTAATGGAGATATTTTGTTAATCATCACAGGGTCTTTATATTTAATCTTCCTGCAGCTCTGGGGGTATTTTGTTTAGAATTTAACAGTAACAGTAGTACCTTTCTTTTGAAGGATTTTGGTCTACCCATAGCCTGTTAACAGACTGATCTGCAGTTGTCATATAACCTCAGGGCTCTTGATGCTTGATTTTAACTTTTAAGAAGGGATTGACTTCCTAGGATCATTACTAATTTCCTTAGTCTAGTTCCAGAAAGGAAAGTTTTGGATTTTATTTGAGATCAAATTGCCTGAATATTCTACTAAGCATTCTTTGAACCACATGTGTGTTGGTTATAGAGTTTATGTCTAGTTTATGTCAGTCATCTTTCTGTGTTTAATTCTGGCATAGTTGGAATCAGTGGATCTGTTCAAGGGCTGTTGCAGAGATATATTAGTCAGAGTCCCTTGGGATGTTCATTCCTTCTGTGCTGGAAGGGTCATTTGAGTGTGCTGCAAAGTACACATCTCTGTGCCATGTGCAACCTTTGGGTTGGTGTTCTGAGCCTGCCACACCATGATCTCTGGCTCCCAAGGCCTTCAGACCTTGTTAGGTGATGAAATGAGCAGGCAAATCCCTCATAATAAAGGGCACTGATAGAAGTGATCTCCTGAAGGCTCATTCTGCAGTGTTCCAACTGAACATAAGGGAAAAAAAAATTACAGGACTGCCTCCAAAAGTAAACTTGGTATTGGCTCATGGCATCCATCAGGCTTGTTTAGATAAATTGTAAATTATTATAATCTAAACCAAAGCAGGTGAATAAACTAATTCATTAAGTGAAACAAGTTTTCCCTCTGAACAGTTGTGGTAATCGTGATACTTAATGTCTCTGAAAATGACTGAAAATGTTATTAATTGCATCAGGATCTGCATAACAGCACATCCTCCTCTTAGCTGGAGCTTACATGTTTTCTCATCCTTTGCAAATTATTCTTAAGGGTCTTCATCTTTCCCTGTATTTCAAAAGGGTAAATTCTATTTTTTTGGGTAAATTTAAGGATAAATTCTAATTCTGTTTTTTGCTACAGTCCAGCATCTCCAGTAGTCAATACAAGAAGAAATATCTGTGTTTCCTCCTCTAGAGAAGTATGTTTCTGTACCATCTATCATCACAGAGCTTTAATTTAGTTGTCACAGTGGTTATTAGTCACCACCATCATGTTCCACAAAGTATAGATAAAGGTATGAACTTTGGGCTGGATGTAGCATTCTCATGCAAAGAATTCTGTTAGATCTCATCCCTGAACTACAACCCATACTTAAAAAATAAATACAAATTTTAAAAATGTAATTTGGTTAGTCTTACTTAGTCACTGTTTTGGCTTCTAATTAGACTGCTAATTAGATGCTTGTAATTGGACTTCTAATTTGAGACAGTGAGCTGGTTTTACTGACTGTGAGAATAATCCATGTCAATTCCTGCTCAGGGAAGAAGCAGCTACAGCTGAAGGAAACAAACATTCAGGATTTGTGCATCTGGGTGCTGTGAGTGCAAATCTGACTCTGCTGGGCTCTCAATTCCATGAACCAACATTGTGGCTGAATCTGTTCTGCTGGGTTTTTTCTTGGATTGGGAAGGATTCTAGGGTGCACTAGGATTAAAAGCTCTTCAAAAACCCTAAACCTTCAAGTCATACATTTGGGTTACATATGTTCAAAAAATGGCAGTTGTGTCAAAAACAGTTTGCACCCAGTTGCTGCAGGATGCATAAAGGTTTGTCACAGATTCCCAGTTTCTGAGAATTATTTTAGCACTCTTTATGCATTAATTTACCAGCATGCAAAGTATCATTACTTGGAGAGGCTGTTTTTAGGAAAGATTAATACATCCTGAGTAGAATGTTGTGCTCATTTCCGTTTGTAAGCATTCTCTGTAAGTCTAACTTAGTATTTCAAATGGTTAAAAAGAGAGAAATAATAAAATAAACCAGTATTCTTCCTAATTTTGAAAAATATGTGATTTTATTGCAAGAGCCATTTGATTTCTTTTCCAGGGTGATGAGAATCTGAATTTCCCTGCCTCTTGTCCATTTTATACAGTTTTTCATAAGAACCCCTTCTGCCAGAGTGGAAGAATCTTTAGGAAGGTTATTTGATGGTGTGTAGTACTTTCAGAGAGGCCCAGGGCTGGAATATTAAAGGCATTCTCTATATACCATTAATATTCCAACACTGCATTTGGCAACATTTTGATTCTGAAGAGAGTGCATGAGTTCAAGGTCAGAGAGATTGACTTGTGCTGTTCATTATAACCAATTATTGTGTGACAAATGAGTTTGAGATCAGGCTTAAAATTCTGTGAGAAAAATCAATAGTTCTAATCAGGGCCTTTCAGGTCATTTACCACCCTACCTTTTGTTACTTTGTCAGAAAAGAGCAAGATAAAACCTGTGTGACAGTGGGTTGCCTCTGTATTGTTACCTTCTATTTGAAACATATTTTGATATCTTGAATTATATTAATAGTTTAATTGGTTTTGGAAACTTTTAAATTAATTCCAATTTGTCAAACTTTTTTTTTTTTTTTTTTTTTTTAGTATTCTGATCAGATTTCTCAAGTGGTATTAAAGCTTCTCTGTCTAGGAAGTAGTATATCTAAGTCCTAAACCAGATTTGAGCTGTTTGTCTGTAATGAATAGCAAATAAACCCTAGCAGCAAATACCAAAGCAAGGTTATTAGTAGAGTGTATCAGGGAAAATGTAAAAAGCTCTACATCTGAACCAGTTTCATGTTGTTTTGCCCAAGCTGGGCATCTGTTTAGAATTCTACAAATTCATTTGGTTTTTCCTTTGTAGTATCCAGATGAGGATGAGGAAACCCGGTTGTACCGTTTGAAGATAGAGGAGCAGAAGCGCCTGCGAGAGGAGATCCTGAAGCAGAAGGAGCTGAGACGGCAGCAGCAAGCTGGGGCCAGGAAGAGAGAGCTGCTGGAGAGACTTGCCCAGCAGCAGCAGCAGCAGCAGCCTTGCTCCCAGCAGCCCTACCAGCAGCACGAGGAGGACTCCTCCGAGTTCCCCACCAACGGCAGCCCCTACATCCCCCACTCCGGCCTGCAGACCCGGCACAACGTGAAGAGCAGACTCCTGGTTAGAAAACAAGACGCGGTAGTGGCCAACATCCACCCCAAACCCACAGACTTCCCCCAGGGCGCAGGGGACGGCCCCTACCAAGGACAGCAGCTGAAGCCCGTGAAGCAGCTGAGGCAAACCAGAACGATCCCTGCGAGTCAGCCTCAGGCAGCCCCGAAAGCGTTACCGAGCAAGGCGGCGGCGGCGCTGCCCACGGCGCAGGCGGCGCGCGCGGCCGCGGTGCCCGGCCGGCCCCAGGAGCAGAAGCCGGGTGTGAAAAGGACAGTGATGCAGCGGACAAACAGTGCTAGTGATGGGCCCCATGGAGGCAGCAAAGTCAGGGTGATTAAGTTGTCAGGAGGGGTAAGTGTACAAGGCTCATCTCATCTCTGTGTCTCCTCGTGGTTTGTTTCTGTGTGGTTGACTCTGTGGAATCCCGAAATAAATGATGGGTCTGAGCTGGTGAGGGAACTATCAGGTATAGCATACCTAATAGTCTATATAGTATATATGCAGAACTGTAATTTATTAGCAGTTATTAAACAATTAGTGTTTCCTGTAATGCTTTACTGCCAGGCAGTTACCAATGAAATCATAGTGAAATACTCCTTTCTTTTAAGTTGTAAATTGGAGCCTGAAATCTCAAAGACTGCTCAGTTGAGCTCCTTTTGCTTAAGGTTGATAGGTCTGATAATTGCTCAGAGAAAAGAATTTAGGTGACTTAATTATTAATTATTTAACTAAGGTTTGGTTAAAAAGGACCTGCTTATTTGGAGGACCTGCTTATTTGGTAAGTGAGGCCACCTAATTTAGTTGTGTGCAGTTGTTGGTCTTAGTATGGTTTCTATTCAGTGGAAGATGGTTTTTATTTTCTTAGGAAGCACATTATGAAACTAATCTAAGCAGTGTGTTGGAAGGGGGTGTTTTCTGTTACAGGCTGGGTTTAAAACGTTACCATTTCACTTCTGCATCTAAATGAGATTTCCTTATCTCTTGATGAGGGGTCTTTTATCTGCAGTGTGTCCCTTGAGCACTGGTGTGGAGGACTCACAGTGATGGTCTTAAGGACAGTGTGCCCGTTTAAAATATGAGGTTTTGGTGAGAAAGTCTCTTGATCAAATTTCTTCTGTCTTAATGAAAAGACAAGTTAATTTGTTAGGGCTCTAAAGAAACTAAGATGAGGGGACATGGAGATCATGTTGTCAGTGTTTGAAGACTGTCCTTGGGTTTATGCTGAGGAGGAAAGAATGATTTGATGTAGCAGCACATTGGAGGTGTTTTTCTGCAAGAATGCTTTTACATTATTTGGAGAATTTTATAGGGAAAACAAAACAGTTGTAACAGGGACTGAACAAGGCCTTGGAGGCTAGGCTTTACTCTGTAGAAATGGAGAGGAAGTTGAAAAACCAGTCTTAACTACTTTTTATGAATGTTTTTCTACAGTTCATAAAGCTTAATTGCACTCAGAGTTGTGAATTGCATAATGACTGTATGGTCTTTCCAAATATTAACATACAGGGCCTTATTGACTGCATGGACATCCTGCAGGTCAGGTTGTTGTCAGTTCTAATTCCTCAGATGTGGTAACTTAAGTACAGAAGAATAAAGTACAGGAAACTGAAAGAAATTAATTCTGCTAAGCTAAAAATATATATATATAAGTATGTCTGCAGGAATCCCAGTGGCCTGCAAGAGGTATGACAGGTTTGTGATTCATGCATAATTGAATAAAGCAGTCATGCACAACTTCTTTTATTATGTGATGAAACAAAACAATGCCAGTCACAACTGTATACAGCTCCTTGTAACAAACAGTTATCAGTGCCCACAGCAGCATCCACAATGAAATTGGTTTTATCACGTGCTCCATTTCAGAAGACCATTAATGATTTGTTTCAGATAAGTGTCATGGTAAGCAAGAGCAATTAGCTTGATTAAATGCTTGTGTAACTCCTCTTTAATTGTGTAGAGAAGCAGATTTACTCTGTCCTCCTTAACTTTCAGATACTGAGGTTTCAGCAAGGTGAGGCAGGTTCTTTACATGTAGCCTTTGTCACTATTTTCATGTTGCCATGGACTTCTTAAGTTTCCTTCCAGCTATGGGAGACTGAAAGCAAGCATTGCAATTAGCTGTTAACACTGATCAATATAATTGATTAATTTTTAATCAGTTAGTGACAAACTGAATCTGTGACTTTATTTCTTTGACCACACAAGGAAAAAAATATAAATTGAGCAGCAGGGCAGACAGTCATCTAGTCCATTTCTGACAGGATTTAAAAGAAGAGTTAAAAGGTGCTTGGGCTCCAAATGCTACCACAATGGAAGATTCTTCTTAGTTTTCACTGCTTTAGTCCTGCCACATGCTTAATTTATTTTCACAACTTTTGCCTGAGCACTAAATATAAAGCAAAAGCCAAATCTCATTTTCCCTGGCCATTCTCCTTAGCATGTAATAGTGCTTCCTCTTACTCCTTGCCTTTGGCCAAAGGGTTGCTGATGTCTCTTACCTGTATGCTCTGGCTCTGTCCTGCAGTTAGCATCCCTGGTCTTGCTCTCTCTAATTCCTTGTGCTCTTCTTCTTTCCTGGGCTCTTTTGTGCAGAGCTGTTTTGAATACATTTGTACAAGTGAGATGGCTCATGATCAGACAGAATGCAGGTTCCCTTTTGGAGCTTCCTGTGTTCAGGTAAACACCTGGCAAATCTCTCCTGCTGCACAGCCCCACAGGGGAGCTCCAGCTGAAGGAGCTGCTCCAGCCCAGAGCTGTTCTAACTCACTCTCTCTAGACCAAGCTGGCCTAAACCAGAAGCTGGTAACGAGGACTTTTATTAATTCAGTAGGATCATCTGTAGAACCAGGATTCAGTGCTTTGGTGTTGCTGCTGCTGTTTTTTGTGTAATATTTAAACAGTGTGGTGTGTTGGTGAGAACTGTGGAGGACAAACACTGTCAGAAGAGAATGGCTTCCTTTCCTGAGGGCAGTGTCTTTACCAGGCTGAGCTTTTGTCTGTTTGTGTTGCTGGGCACAGCAGTGCTACTGAAGACCTGTAGGTAGAAGTATCCCTAGGGTTCTTAAAAAACAAAATGGTCTTTTATCTGTTTCCACAATATTCTTTTGTGAGAAGATTTTACTTTTGGCATTTTAAGAATTACCATGTAAATTCCAAGAATTTTTTAATTTGTTCAGCTTTCCTGATACATAAGATGCCTTAATTAACGATTTCTGTTCTTCAGGAAAATGAAAGTAGAAAATGATTCAGCATTTTCAGTGTCAGACTAAGTCTGTGTATCAAGGTGACACATTAGGTACTGTTAGTAATGATTTTGTCTGTTGATGCTTTTTTATTTTTTAAATAAATCCCACCCTTCACCTCTCCCACAATACTTTGCCCATCCCCTTCTAATATACATATAATTTATATGGGAATGGCAGTAAAGTGAATAGTTTTCCATTTTAATTATTTCTTTAAATGTTATGTTCCTGGAAAAATGGGCAGTGTTTAGCACATGGACTTGGATTTTTGGATTTTTTTTTTTTTTTTTTTTTTTTTTTTTTTTTTTTTTTGTTGCTGGTTTGGTTTTAGATTGGGTTCTTTTGGGGGGAAGGGGAATGGGTTTTGGGGATTTTTGAGGGTTTTTTTTTTCGTTGTTGTTGCTTTGTTTTTAGTTTTATTCTTGGTTTTATTTTTTCCAAGGAGGCACAGATACTTTTCAATGAATGCAGTGTGCTTTGTTTTTGTGGCATTTCCTCAGAGCTGTCCTTTTCAGATACAAGAGCTCAGTGTATTCCCTGAGCATTCATACTTGTAAATTTTACTAATAAAGCATCTGAGACTTGCTGGGCTTGCTGAGGAGCCTGAAGTCAATCCTAAAGTTACTTGTAAGTATAAACTCAATGAGAGTGTAGGAAAGAAACACCCTAATAAATCACTTAAAAATGTGATCATAAAATTATAGAAAATAAGAGTGAAAAGACTTTTGAAGTAATTTATCTTGAAAGGAGGGGATGAACTCTGCAGTATTTCTGACAGATTTTGTCCAATGTTTTTCTGAGATCTCATTATTGCAGATTTCCCAGGTCATCTATTCCAGTATCAAATGCGTATATTTAGAAGAATTTTCTTAGTGACCAAATCCCATTTTCTTGCTATAATTTTGAATTTATGACTATTTGTATTATACCTGAAGTGAGATGGGGAAGAATTTCTTTTTTAAAGAAAATCTTAACTGTTTCTGAGCTCTAATATCTTTCATTCTCTCTTGATGAGTCATGTTTTTTAACACCTTGGCTGTTTGTGATGCTCTTTGGGCTCTCTGTCATCAATCTGTCTGTTAAGAGTTCTAGTACTAAATGTAATTGAATTCCTTCAGTCAATATATTCAGAGTTTTTTCAGTCCTGGAAGAACAGGTTTGTACCATCTATAACATCAGATATCTAAAGATATATGAAATACATGCTGAACATGTTGTCTATTTAGTCGGAGGTTCTGTGGTAAATTACAATATCATAAAATCTCTGTGTTATTGTCATCTTATGTTGTTGGATGATTTTTCTCTTAGCCAGAAAATGTCCTGCCATGCTCAGAGAGCTGTGTGTCTGTCCCAAAGGCCTGAAAATGCTGATTCTTATGCTGCACCAAGAACACACCATTCTTTGTCTCTATGGAAGGCTGCACAATGAGGGTTTTTTCATAAATACATAGATAAAAATACAGTAAAATCTTGGCCTGTTGCATTGCAAGCAGTATCTTGTAAGTGATCCTAATTCCTGAAAACCTGAAATGCTTTGTATGAAAAGCTTGAAAAAAGAGCTGGCAAATTCTTCTGTTTGAAAAGCCTGTCACAAAAAAAGTCCTTGGATTGCAAAAACAAGATGGAAATGGAAGATAGACAACTTCGGTCGAATTTCAAGCAACTGGGAAGTGTGAGATGAATATGGAGTTCTAAATATGGAAAAAAAATACAGATTAATATGATTGTTGTTTGATAATGTAACCTTATCAACCAACTTTGCTTAATGTTTGTACTTGTTTCTACTTGCATGTATGTGTTCAAGTTTAATTAAAAATATTTGACTTGAAAGCTCTTTTAGCGCCTTTCATCTAAATATGTCAGGAATTGCAAACACAAGAATTGTGGTATTTGTGTGGGAAGTTCATGAAGCCCTTTCCCCAACCCTTGACAAAGGAACTCTTGCCCTGTATGGTCCTATAACTTTTTAAGAAACAGGAGAATGACTTTAGTGTTTGTTTGTATCCCAGAGTTTGAAGGAGGCATGGATAGAGCCCACCTAGGAGTGGGCTGGGGAAGCTGCAGGAGCCATTCTGAGTGCCAGGTTCCATGGCAAAATGAGCTCTGAAG